TTCCCTATGTATAAATGTCAATTTTTGTGAATTTTTTTGATTAATTATATTACTCTTAAAAAATATAAGCATTATTATAAGTTTTAACAAAATGTTAAAAAAATAAAAACTTCAAAAACTCCATCAATATAATATTACTCACTTCATTTATAGAGATAATATTATGACTTCATATGTATATTTTATTTTTCTTCAAAATGTTTAACCTTTTATTTTTGAGATAAAAAATAATGTATATATAGTTTTACATGGTTTTTTAGTTGCAATAAACTTTTTACAATGTGTTAAGATTTTATGTGAAAATTTGATTTTTTTTTTAAATTTTAATATGTTTTACAATATTTATTATAATATTGTATATTAAATTTTATTCCAATTGACCTTTTTTTTTGTTTTTATCCCAATTGACCTAGATAATCCTAAATACGATAAGATTCCAATATGATTGGTATATTGATAATTATTTTTATTTTATTCAATGATCAATNTATGAAATTTTTTGATTGATTATATTACTCTTAAAAAATATATGCATTATTATAAATTTTAGCAAAATATTCAAAAAAATCTTCAAAAACTCAATCAATATAATATTACTCACCTTATTTATAAAGATAATATTATGATTGTATATGTATATTTTATTTTTTTTTCAAAAATGTTTAACCGTTTTATTTTTAAGATAAAAAATAATATATGTATAATTTTACATGATTTTTTAGTCGCAGTAACTTTTTAAATTGTGTTCAAATTTTATGTGAAAACTTGAATTGTTTTAAAATTTTAATATGTTTTATAATATATATTATAGCATTATATATTAAAATTTATATCAATTGACATAAGTAATCCTAAATACAGTAAGGTTTCAATACGATTTGTATATTGATAATTATTTTTATTTTATTCAATGATTTATCAGTGAAATCTTAATCAAATTAATTTAAAACAAATTAATTTTCAAACATCACTAAAAAATCACTTTCAATTACAAAATTGTAGTAAAAAATATAACTTTAATTATTTATTTTCTTTTTTTAGAATAACAAATCTTGAAAATATGCAAAGTTTTCAAAATTCTATAGTGAAGCATGACAGATGAAAAAATAAGTTTGATAAATTTGAGATAATATTTAATTCAACTATACATATATCAAATATTTATTTACTAGTTATTGCCTATGCCTAAAGGCACAGAGTAATAAAAAAAAGATAAATAATAAACATATTTGTATTCATATTCAAAATCAAATCATAATCATAAAGAAGAGATAAAAGAATTTAAGCATCAATTTCTAGTGGGGGTGAGAAGTGGTGAGCAGCAGTGGTGGATGGTAGGAGACGGTGATGATTGTGGTGGCAATGACTGTGGTGGTGGTGGTGGCGGCGGCGATGACGACGATGGTGGTGACGGCGGCGACGACAACAGTGATGATGGCTGCGGCGGCGGCGATGGCGGTGGCGGTGGTGGTAGTGGTGGAGTGGTTTCAAACACTATTTTTTTTAAGTATTTATAAGAAATAATTTTTAAAAGTACTTTTAAAAAGTTACTTCAAACACACCCTTGAAAACCTATTTTTTCTATTAAATTTAGGGTGTTAATATTAATTGTTAGATTAACTTCAAAATAAAATTTAAAGCGATTTCAACCGCGAATAGTAAAAATCATTTTGTTTATCTTTTAAGATTTGAATTGTAAACTACTTTATTATACACATTAAATTTTTAAAAAAAATTATTCACGTATAACGCACGTAGTGCATTGTTAGTTCTTGTAAAAACATGAATCTACTATGTTAGAGGTATAAGAACAAATATTGAAAGTTATTGATATATAATTTGCGGACTTTGTTACCAAAAGTTTTAAATTGAATGCTCATTACATTGCATATGTATTGCGTGTACCATAAAAACTAGTCTAATTTCACTTGACAATATTGTCCTGGTATAAATTATAAAATTAGACTAAAATTGAAAGAATAAAAAGTTTATAAAAAACTAAGGCATGAAAAAGGCCGAATATGCCTCGCAAGGCCCAAGTAACTTTTCATCTCGAATTTGCCCAACAATGTATCGGCCCAACTATAGCTGTTGGGCCCATTTCATCCAGAAGGGTTGGTTCGAAACGAAACAATAGAACAGACTATAGCAAAAGAATGGTAAATTTTTAAGGGCACAAGGGCATTTTAGTAAGATTACTCAAACCCAATTTGGTAATTTCACATAACTTCTTTGGGAAGCCTGTCAGCTGTCGCCTTCTCTCATTCCCGCGCTCCATTCACCCAAATTTATTTATAGCCTGCTCTCTCTCTCTCTCTCTCTCTCTCTCTCTCTCTCTNATTTCTAGTGGGGGTGAGAAGTGGTGAGCAGCAGTGGTGGATGGTAGGAGACGGTGATGATTGTGGTGGCAATGACTGTGGTGGTGGTGGTGGCGGCGGCGATGACGACGATGGTGGTGACGGCGGCGACGACAACAGTGATGATGGCTGCGGCGGCGGCGATGGCGGTGGCGGTGGTGGTAGTGGTGGAGTGGTTTCAAACACTATTTTTTTTAAGTATTTATAAGAAATAATTTTTAAAAGTACTTTTAAAAAGTTACTTCAAACACACCCTTGAAAACCTATTTTTTCTATTAAATTTAGGGTGTTAATATTAATTGTTAGATTAACTTCAAAATAAAATTTAAAGCGATTTCAACCGCGAATAGTAAAAATCATTTTGTTTATCTTTTAAGATTTGAATTGTAAACTACTTTATTATACACATTAAATTTTTAAAAAAAATTATTCACGTATAACGCACGTAGTGCATTGTTAGTTCTTGTAAAAACATGAATCTACTATGTTAGAGGTATAAGAACAAATATTGAAAGTTATTGATATATAATTTGCGGACTTTGTTACCAAAAGTTTTAAATTGAATGCTCATTACATTGCATATGTATTGCGTGTACCATAAAAACTAGTCTAATTTCACTTGACAATATTGTCCTGGTATAAATTATAAAATTAGACTAAAATTGAAAGAATAAAAAGTTTATAAAAAACTAAGGCATGAAAAAGGCCGAATATGCCTCGCAAGGCCCAAGTAACTTTTCATCTCGAATTTGCCCAACAATGTATCGGCCCAACTATAGCTGTTGGGCCCATTTCATCCAGAAGGGTTGGTTCGAAACGAAACAATAGAACAGACTATAGCAAAAGAATGGTAAATTTTTAAGGGCACAAGGGCATTTTAGTAAGATTACTCAAACCCAATTTGGTAATTTCACATAACTTCTTTGGGAAGCCTGTCAGCTGTCGCCTTCTCTCATTCCCGCGCTCCATTCACCCAAATTTATTTATAGCCTGCTCTCTCTCTCTCTCTCTCTCTCTCTCTCTCTCTCTCTCTCTATCGCTGTGTGTATATATCTGAGAACAGTGTAGTAGGAGGAGGAGTGAGAAATGTTTTACTCGCATACGTTCTTGGCTCGGAAAGGGCCATTGGGAACAGTTTGGTGTGCGGCACATCTGCAACACAAACTCAAGAAGTCTCACTACACCTCCACCAATATTCCCTCCACCGTTGGTTCGTTTTCACTCTCTCAAACCCTTCCTGTTGTTTGATCTTTTATTTTATTTAATTTTTTTTGATTTTCTGAGTGGAATGGAGGTAAATCTGATATGTGCACATACCCATTTCTCCTTTTTTAAAGCTTTGATTCAAGTCTTTTGTAGCTCTTTTGGGCGTGTTTATGGATGTATTTCACATAGAAAATTCATATAGGTTATTGTTTGTGGCGAAAATTTATAAAATTGGGTCCTTTTTGGATTAAATAAATTTGTTTTCCAATAATGTATGCTTAAATTGTCTGTGTCATAAAAGTTTGTACGACATGCGTGCATAAATCGTGGGTAAAGGATGATTCTTTGTTGTATTAACATTATTATTTGTTCACAAATATTATCTTTAAGTTGCCTTTTGCATAAATTGTGGGCTTGGGTTGAAACAGGTGAAATATGTGACGGTTCTGAAGGGTTCAGTCCGTCTTGTGAATCGTGAGTGGGTCATTTTTGTTTTGATTGGGGTTTAAGAATTTCCTAAAATTGAGCTCATGGGTATTCAGTGGAAGCAGAATTTAAATTTCAATCGTATGCCAGAATAAAAAGTTAGAATTAAGTGGTTAATTTTTTGTCAAATCTTGCTACTCATCGATCCATGAGAGATTGCCTATTTAAATTGTAACATCTTCTTCTAAGACCAATTGCATCATACAATTTCTATACCTCTTTACAGAAATCATACGCTGTGTTAAATTTGTGACATGAGAATAGGGAATGGTTCAAGTTGCTGTTGGTCCTTTGATTGGGTGTAAAAATTAAATGTTATTTTGCTCATGGGTGTTGGCTTTAACGTTTGAGTTATGAAATTGGCTTGTGAAAAAATAAATTGCTTATTCACATAAGATAGATTCCACTTATCTGCCAATATAGGAAACTAAAATAAATGATGAATGGTTGGTTATTAAATTGTTAGATGTATCATTGATTGGTCTATTTGACCCTGGAAAAGTAAAAGCCACCTCGAATGCAAAATTTGACAATATGATGGGTTCTCGAATAGTTACTACTTCATTGTCGTAATTTAGTTTCAGTGGGTGCATATATGCTGTCAAGTTTTTGCATATATGCCCATAGGTTTGTTATGCTAATTGCTTATTGATAGGTATATTGATTGAAAATTTCTGGTGGGAAATGAAACTCCCAACATGCAAAAGAAATCTCTGCATTACATGAGTCTGATAGTGTGCTGATAAAAAAAAGTGTGTGATAGTGTTGTCTCCTCATTCAGTTGACAATCTGTTGTTTATATCTCTCATTTTATCCTTAATATATATGCTCATTCGTCCTCTTCATCATGAGGTGTAAGTTGCTTAAATCCTTTGAATTGCATTTTATATTACCATTCCACAATTTAGTTGACAATTGCTTCTTTTTTGAATATATCTTCTAGAGCGCATTATGTATCCAGAAGTTCCAATTGCACTGAGAATGTCCAGCCATCTTCTGCTTGGAGTTGTCCGGATATATTCAAAGCAAGTTGAATATCTATACCACGACTGCAATGTTGTACTGATAGGGATAAGAAAGGCCTTTTCTTCTGTTGAAATTAATTTACCAGAAGATGCATCTCATGCACCATTTTACTCTGTCACTTTGCCAAACACATTTGAACTTGATGCCTTGGATTTGGATGATGACTATTATCATGATTGGTAAAATTTTTGGCAACCTATTCCTTGAGTGTCTTTTTCAAAGATCCCTAGATGCAGATAACACATGGCATTTGAATTTCCAGGTTTCAGGATAATCATCTGAGGAGCCAGGAGGAGATAACCCTCCCAGATGGTGTTCATGCTCCCTCAAATTAAGTTTTATAATTTCTTGCCTTCATGTTTTTGGTCTAATTGTGCATATACTTTTTAACTTATAATTCATCGTATGGCAGATCAAATTCCGATTGGGAGAGATGCTTATATAGTCGTCACATTTGATGAGGTAGCTATGACTACTGAAGTTAATGAAAGGCCTAACGAAGATAGCATTCCTCAAAATATTCCTGAAATTGAAGTTATCCGTGATGCCGTCCATGACAAAAATGTTCCAGTTTGGCCAGACCAGGGTAATCATGTACTTGTACCGGATAGAACTTCAGAACAGCTGGTCATGGAAGAGGAGGAAATCATTCCCCAGGTTATGGAAGAAATCTTGGAATCTGGTGGTCATTCTCTCCCATCTCAGCAATGCCAAGAACCACCTTCTGCTGCTTCGAAACAGGCCTCTGAGATTTATGACACACACATTTCATTTGGTGGGTTTCATTTCTCATTGTTGGGTACATGCGTGCTGCATAGAGATGATGTTTTACATTTGAACATATCTGATTTCTTCTGTTACAGGGCATGTCTCACCTGAATTGGCAATTCAATCTACTCCTCCTGCTGAGCAGCCAAAAGGAAGGCCAAGAAAGAGAAAGCACCACTATGATGAGTCCACAGTGTTGACTAATAAGTATGGATGGCCATATGATTTACATGGTTGTTCTTGTATCCTCTGCTACTTCTTTTGATAGAAGCATTTGTGTTTTCAGGTTTATGAAAAGGGCACTAACGGATTCTAGTGATATACAGCGGGTAAGGAGGGATTGCCCTTGCTCTGCTTTGGGTTTTTGGAAATTAAACAATAGATTGAAAAAGGAAAAAGTCTTCCTTGATCCTTTAACGTCTGGTTAGTGGTTTCCTTTGTTGCTTAAATTACATGTCTCTCTTGTTCTATGGAAACTGATTATATTGGAGCATGGGTGCTTGTCTGTGTGCAGGGTTGTGTGTGGATCTGTCTAATACTTATCATAAAGATTTCATTTCTTTGAAACTTCAGTTAGCTCACATAGAGGAAGCCCATCCAGAGCCTGATAATGCACATTCTCCTGTTCCCATGCCCGAAATTGATATGGAAATTGAACATCTTCGAGAGTATGCAAGCCCTGCTAGCATCAATCTTTTGTCAGAACTCCTTCCTTCTCCAAATAAATTCATGTCTTCTCCAACTCGAAGAGATGAGTTCACTCCTGCCTTCACTACCAACTTGGGGTCAGAGTCAAATCTTCTGGGAACAACTATTGGGACTGAAGTGCCATCCACATCAGACTTGGCAGCATCTACTGGACCTGTTGGTTCTGAAATGGAAACTCCAGTGCTTTTCTCAGAAGAGCAACTAAGTTTCAAAAACACTGGTCTTTCTGATATTCCTGAGCTGGTGAAGTCTGCAGGAGTATGTTTTTAGTGCTTCAATACATGTATTTGATTTCAACTTATGCTTTCTTCAAATTCTTGACTTAAATTGTCGGAAGATTATTACTTCTCATGCTTGATCTATGTTGTGCCTTTGTCTCCCCATTGTTTGTTTTGCTTTATTTCCATGGTCGGTGTTAGTTGGGTCTTATCGTAATGTCGTAATGTCGTAATATGGAATATGTGTCTTGGTGACCTTTTTAGGCAAGGATGAATGAGATTTTCAGCAGGATTCCATCAAGAGGTTTCTTCTTATGAAATATTAGATGCATGAAGTTTGTACTGCATGTTTTTGTTCACGTTCTGCTTGGGGGTCAGATGTTATGCATATAATTTATTTCTCACTTGTACACTCAAATCTTCATCTGTACACTTTTTAAATTCATTTTGAGCCTTTGTTTCACTTGAAGGGCCAACTATATTTTCAACTAAAGACTTTAATATGCCAACTTAATTGGTTATAAATTTGGAATTCACATTCTTGTTTCCTATTATGTGCTTTTAATAAACTTTTTATTGTGATGATTATTTCTTCCAGTTTTCAGTAATTTGATAATTTTGTTTATCTACAACTGTAAATTAAGTCCTGTGATGCATAAAATGAAACCTCAAGGGTGGGACATAACTTGGTAGGTTCCGATGCTTTATCTTTGGTCTAGCACTTTGGAAGATGATGTAGGAGACAATAACTGTAGAATCTGACATGCCAACTCATTTATTTCATTACAGGACCTAAATTTTTTGGAAGAGGAGGACAATTCACCAGCTGGTAAGCTGAGAAACCCTTTAAATTGTTGATCAGTGGTATGGAATATGGATGACACCAACTTGGGATAATGTTCTTCACTTTGCTCACTAATGGTGAAAAAGTTATTAGCCCCTGTAAAATGAATACAATTACATATTCATTCTTGAGCAGGATCCCAAGGAACTCCTGAGTTTGGGTACTCGTCGGGAATACAAAAAGGGACTCCTGAAATTGATGCATTGTCTGCAAGAACAAGGTAGCATCTTGAAGAAATCATTGTTACTGATGAAGTTTACTATAAGCAGTCTGCATATAAATTGTGAAACTGGTATGCAGGGCTGTGGCTCAATATTTAAAAAGGCAGTCATCAGCTGCCCCTGTCTCGGAAGACTTGTCTGGAGATCTCAGTTTGAACAATATTCTAGAAGGGAAAAGGAAAAAAGTATGTGCTCGAATGTTCTTTGAGACACTAGTAAGTCCTCAAACCTTTCTGTTTAACTGCCTGGTTTGTGAGATATTTTTTCATTGATTAGTTGGTGGGAAAATAAATTGGGGAAATAAAGTGGTTTAGTATGCAATTAAGGAATTTTTGGTGTGTGGTTTGAATATACGTGCATGACCAGAGTACTTCCAGGAAAATTGCACACTAAAGTGTATAATCCAACAATTGCACTCTACAGAGTTATATTTATTTTTAGTTGGGATAATGTAGCTTCAATATCTGATATATTATCGTGTATATTATTGCAGACTCGTGACAACCATTTCATGACTTTGTTTAACGGTTCATTTACTGACTTTTTTTCAACGCATTTGCTGTTATGCTTCTTTCACCATTTGCATATTTGGTGTTGGTGATGCAATTGTATAGTATGCATTCTTGACACTAAGATTTCTTTTTGGTCAGGCCTGAGTAGAGCACAGAATACTCCAAGGAGTCGTCAACCAAACTCAGTTAAACAAGCCCCAGGGTTACTACTTGGAGTCAGATTCATAAATGCTTCTTGAATAATTGAGTTGTGATCTCCTTTTAGTATATTTTGTACTCTGCCAGGCCTGCAATGTAGTAGATGGTTGAAGTTATTTTGTTTAGCTAATATTGGTGTTATATTAAAGTTGTTTGTGCCAACAAATTTACTGAGCTCTGAACTGGATTCTGAGGCAATTGGTTCTTTTTAAGGCCCATTTGCATGTGTAGCAGACAACTAGGCAAACAGATATTGAAAATCTAACGATACGAGGAAATCCTCAGGTCAAGATTCTACCTATATTCCAACTTGTGGCCATTTGCTGGCGTGCAAATTTCAATTTGATCAATTTGCACTTTATTGGCACATGCTTTCCAGTGTGAATGGAATTTTTTCAGTTCCAGCTAGTGGGAGTCTATTTGTGTCATTGTGAATACCACATGAGCACATAAGATTTATGTTGGTGGTTGTAAAAGTCAATTAAAGCATCATGTTCGGTGGTAATGTAAATATTTGATGTGATTCTTCATTTTGTAGGTATTGAAGAATTGTGGACTTGTAGATGTACAGCAAGGACAAAGTTATGGTGATATTACTGTGAAGGTGACTCCAAAACTTTCAATAGAACAATTTTCAAGCTAAATGTGCTTGGCAGTTCTTCATGTATACAGGTAAGAAGTGTTCATTTTGAGTTTGAATTTTTTGGAACAGTGCTTAGCTCCCCACCCCTCACTCCCACGTGAGGGCGGTACTTACACACTGGTTCTATTATTTTTTCTCGCTGCAATTGGACTCAATTGCTAGTCACAATGCGGGTGACCAAAATATATTTTTGTTAATTAAGTGCGCTGTGTGTAAAGTTCGAGTGTCTGCACATTTGCTATTCAATTAAGATTCCAACATATCCTCTCCAGTTCTATACAATACTAATTATTCTTCTCTTATGAAATGCAGATTGATTTGTACAGCAGCAGCAATTTATAAACTTATAAAGATGCATAGCCATTGTGTTATTTTAGCAAGATGTTGCTAAAGGTGATATGCTAAATTATTACCTACCAAAAAGACACAGAAGATGAATTATTGTGATCAACAGTGCTCCATGTCCATATGGTCCTCCTTGGTTTCTGTAACTACTTGTAATCTTTCTGGCTGTTGATAATAGGCCTAAGAAAAATTTTGTATTCCCTTGTTCAAACGATGCAATGGAGCAGTATTTTGGATCACCCTGGCCGTGTGCTTGAAGGTGTTGTTATGTGAATACCTCTTGCCTACTAAGCTTCAATTCTAAGATGACTCTGGAGTTCTATGTTGCCTGTTCCTCTCCTGCTATCCACCGCGATAAATGATGGGAAAGCTGATGGCTTGTTTGGTGGGTTAGGCTACTCTACATTTATCAAGTAATTGGGAATCTTCAATATTGAATATTGAGAATCATTGACATTGACAAATTCAGTATATTTTGAATTTCTAAAATTAAAGTTTGAGGTAAGATAAGAGTTAGTAACATGGGTATATTCTTATTATTTACAAAGAACTGGAGGATTCTTATTGGTGCAAGAAAACAAGCTTATTGGCCTTGTTTTGTGGTGGGTACTGTTTGGAGTGCTGGAGGAGTGGACGGAATAGGAAGTGTCTCAGCAAGAAAATAAAGGGGTAGAGACTTTGAAAACCTACTAAAATGTTGTTGTCTGTGCATGATTAGACAACTCTTTCTAAGGAATTCTACAAAATAGTTTTGCAACTTAGAGAAAGAAGTGCCTCCTCAACAAAGGGGATTGCAGTGATTTGCCTAATAGATGTGAGATTGGTTAATGGTAGTTTCGAGTGGTGTAATAATCATAAGGAGACCACATCTATGATCAAGTTGTAAGGGCTAAATTATCGAATGTTTCAAGGGATTTCTCCTGGAGGACCAAGTTACTTATGATCGGGCCATGGTTAGTGTCACTCTGGTTGTTATTAGAGCTAATCGAACTGAACTTATCAAGCTCGTTTTTTAAATAAATTTAAAAGATTATTTAAACTTAATTTGTTTAGAAAATAGACCGAATTCAAAACAAGTCAAAACCGAATAGTTCGATTATTTTATATATAAATGAGTTGAATTTTGCGAGTTCAAAAAACTCTTCAATTGAATAAGGTTGAGGTTCAAAAGAAGGGAAACAAAATCAGAGGATAAGCTTTTATTCTCAAGTGAAATAAGCTACTTGGTTTTAAAGCGGCATGTCAGTGCCAAGTATTTCATGGCCATCAAAGATACAACGTCCTTAACCATGTTTTAACAAATGTAAACCATAGTAAGTTTGGAAAATATAGTTCAACGGCAAATTTATCTCTAAATCACCCTGGTAAGTCGAAACTAAAACTTAAGCTACGAGGGCATCAATTTTGTGTTCAATGTGGGCTTCGTGGTCCTCAAGGCGACCTTTGGTCGCTTCATTTTCCCAACGGATGAGTGTTGGAACTCCTATGAGCTTGAACCTTGAGTCGACTCTCCATGGATGCACGGGTTTCCTCCAAGTTGGTCTATCTCCAACATAAGCTCTCAGGAGTGTGACATTGTCTGATGATGCTTCCAGCTTTTTGTATATCACCGGTTCAGCTCTCACACAATCTGAACCAACCAGAAAATGCAGACATAGTATATTTGCATGTCAAACCAAAGAAAAGAATAACATATAAATGAAGTTCATGGTTCATTGGTTGTTTTTCTCCAACAAATTGGCCAAAATAGCTGCTTCAAATAAGTAGAGCAAAACTACATTTTTCCTGTTTTTCCACAGGAAATCAACTTCCAACCAATGGCAATCGATAACCTCATGCCTCTATAGTTTTCTCCATTAAGAAAAGATGTTCACAGGGGTTAGAAAGACCCCTTTCCCTTAAAAGAATTCACAAGCGGGTACCAGCTTTCCAAAAATAAGGGGAGATCTGCGGCTTATTGCTTACAGAAACGTTTGATCTTGGAAATTCATAGTTTTAGAAATATGAGGTAGTAATGATAACTAACTTACATGGGCACTGAAATTATTTTCAATATCAAGCACTAATGAAAATATTCATAGTTTATTCTAAGAGCTATGTTTTGGACTTGACCGAAAAAGCTATTGTTATCACAACACAACTCGATGGAAATTTCTAATGTTTAGGCTAAAACCCCAAAAATGTATGAAGAAAAAAAATATTTTATTAGACTTACTATAAATTAGGCATCTATTTGCTGCAAACATNAGCTACTTGGTTTTAAAGCGGCATGTCAGTGCCAAGTATTTCATGGCCATCAAAGATACAACGTCCTTAACCATGTTTTAACAAATGTAAACCATAGTAAGTTTGGAAAATATAGTTCAACGGCAAATTTATCTCTAAATCACCCTGGTAAGTCGAAACTAAAACTTAAGCTACGAGGGCATCAATTTTGTGTTCAATGTGGGCTTCGTGGTCCTCAAGGCGACCTTTGGTCGCTTCATTTTCCCAACGGATGAGTGTTGGAACTCCTATGAGCTTGAACCTTGAGTCGACTCTCCATGGATGCACGGGTTTCCTCCAAGTTGGTCTATCTCCAACATAAGCTCTCAGGAGTGTGACATTGTCTGATGATGCTTCCAGCTTTTTGTATATCACCGGTTCAGCTCTCACACAATCTGAACCAACCAGAAAATGCAGACATAGTATATTTGCATGTCAAACCAAAGAAAAGAATAACATATAAATGAAGTTCATGGTTCATTGGTTGTTTTTCTCCAACAAATTGGCCAAAATAGCTGCTTCAAATAAGTAGAGCAAAACTACATTTTTCCTGTTTTTCCACAGGAAATCAACTTCCAACCAATGGCAATCGATAACCTCATGCCTCTATAGTTTTCTCCATTAAGAAAAGATGTTCACAGGGGTTAGAAAGACCCCTTTCCCTTAAAAGAATTCACAAGCGGGTACCAGCTTTCCAAAAATAAGGGGAGATCTGCGGCTTATTGCTTACAGAAACGTTTGATCTTGGAAATTCATAGTTTTAGAAATATGAGGTAGTAATGATAACTAACTTACATGGGCACTGAAATTATTTTCAATATCAAGCACTAATGAAAATATTCATAGTTTATTCTAAGAGCTATGTTTTGGACTTGACCGAAAAAGCTATTGTTATCACAACACAACTCGATGGAAATTTCTAATGTTTAGGCTAAAACCCCAAAAATGTATGAAGAAAAAAAATATTTTATTAGACTTACTATAAATTAGGCATCTATTTGCTGCAAACATCAGAAAATAGATACTCCAAATTATTATTGTGTTATCCCTGAAGGAAAAAAAAAACAAAAAGGGGAGTTTTTTGGGTTTTTTTGAGCTCAATGCATTTCACATATTTAACGATATATTAGCAAAACAAGAACCTTCTCTTATGTATTGCCCTAATCAATGCCATCACAGACTAAAAAATTCAAAATACACCTGAAGCCCTGAAACTATTTCGAGAGAGAGACACGAAAAGCAAATATTGTAGCTATTTGATTATTTTCAAAATCATATCGAGAGAAACTCAATAGAATCAATACATAACATTAGACCATCGTAATTGTAAGGCAAAAGAAAAAAAACAGACCATTCTTGAAAACATTTGTACACAAAAATTCCACAAAGTATACCAATAGGAGCCAATCCCATGCGGCCATGCTTATACCTCAACGACACACATTGACGCTTACTCAAAAATATTTATGCCGAGCTACACTATGCTGAAGAGTCACCTACGATGCTCTCAAACATAGACAGTGTTTGCTCTGTTACAAGGGTGGCAATAGGACTAATGAAATAGCAAACACCCACAAAAAATTGCAACAATCAACAAAAAATTCTACAAAAACTGTAACATGAAAATTGGTTTTATTGCTAACATTATAAGAGATTGTGCTTTACCAGGGCACCAGCTGAGAGAGGTTGAAGGGTCTTTGTCAGCCAAGAACAGTATGAGATTGACTTTGTTATCTGGTGTTTCCGATCTGAACTTTTCGAATACACCATCGAAGGTTGTTATGGTGGCATCCAAAACTCTCAACGGCATCTTTTCGAAATGGGTGTGAAGTTCGGAGTTTCTGATTTG